AGTATTGAATGCAAGAACTTTCTTGTTCTTTAATTCTTCATCATTCTTTCTATCTTCAATTTGAACTTCATATGCCATAAGATTACCAATAAGATTTTCAACCGTAAGAGTTGACAAATCATTGGCTTCTTCAATTGCGATAACTTTCTTTTCCCATTGTGGAGTAAGTGAACGAAGTATCTTTCTTACCATCTCCACTTGAGTATATGTTTTTCCAAGACCAATAAGAGAATTTGTGATGTCGGTGAATCTTGTGAACATTTCTCCAATAGTCTCATTTTCCTTCATCTTGAATAATTCAAATCTGTGCACAAGAACGGAAATTTTAGATTCTTTAACTTTATTTGTACCTTCATGAGTTACCTCAAGAGTATGCCAAATATCGTATGCAGATGTGGCCGTTGACACCCTATTGAACTCATTCTTGTGAAGTGCACAAAATAAGGCATTCATTGCTTTAGAATCCAAATTCGCATTGTTCCTTTGAGATGTAGTCCATTCCGCGAAAGGAGTGGTTGGCTTCTCATATTTCGTTTCCACGACGTTCCAAAGTTCGTAGCCAAGAGATTGGAGGTAGATCTTCATCCTACACTTCCAATAGTTGTAGTTCGTGCCATCGAACATTGGAGGACGATTTGTAGAGTGACCTTCCTTGAATTGTGATGTATTTGAAGATGCCATCTTTCACCTTGCTCTGATACCAAATGTAGGATCTGAAATAGATACACTTGAACACTAGAAGGGGGGTGAATAGTGTTCTTTTAAAATTAATGCAAAGTATATTATAAATTGCAAAAAAAATGGCAATCTCAGAAATTCACAATCACAAACACAAGAATTTTATACTGGTTCCACCAATCCGGTGTACATCCAGTCCCCAAGCAAATCCCGCTTAAGAGTTTCCACTATGATTTTGAATAAACTTACAAAATCAAACGCAAACCTGACCAATTTGCAAGTCCCTGCAAATTACAACACCAATTGACAAACACCTTGCCAATTTGAACACTAATCTCTAAACCAAGAGATTAACCCTCTCACACCCGAGAGAAATCCTTGTTGAAGAAAGAACACAATTGATCCTATAAGCCTTGAATGTGTAGTGAAGTGCAGCAGTGGCTTAGGATTCTTTTAACCTCTGTAAATTACCTAAATGATAAGTATTTGATGAATGTTTAGAGGTAATTTCAGAAACTTCTCTTTTTCACAAAATCTGAATATTTTTCACTTGAAAAATTGCACAAAGATCAAAGCTTATGGGTATGTAAGTCTCTGCAATTTTTCTGAACAAATAACCTATTTATAGCCCTTGAAAAGACAAATTTTTAAACTTTAAAAACGTTTAAAATGGCTATAAACTGTCAGATATTCAAACTTTGAAAACTGGAAAAACTGTATCTGTAGTCGACTAATGTTGACATTAGTCGACTACACTGAGTTCAAACAGACTCTGTGTTTTTGGAAAATTTTCTCAGTAGTCGACTACAAAGCCCATTAGTCGACTACACTGTATTTTGACAGAAACTGATAAAATAAAATTTGAGTTCAGTAGTCGACTACTGTTGACATTAGTCGACTACACTGTAAAATAACAGAAACTTATGTTTCTGTCAAACACCTGAGTAGTCGACTATAATCACTATTAGTCGACTATACTGTAAATTGACAGAAACTTGTATTTGAGTTTTATACACGAGTAGTCGACTACTATTCTAATTAGTCGACTACTAAGAGTAAAAATTCTGCTATAAAGAGTTTTTATAATCAAGTTTTAACTATAATTCTAATGGTTAACATAGGGGATTTCTATTGTTAACCAACACACTAAGCCTGTGTTAGTGTGTTCTAAAATTGTGTGTGTGCGTGTGTGTGATCAAGGCTTGTACAATTATTCTAAGTAAAGAAAATGTAAAATACATTATCTCTTTTGTTCTTCATTTTATTCACTTCAAAATGCCTTGAAATCAACTTGCACTTGTACATATTCTGATATTGAAATCTGCATATAAAAGTTAGTGCACACACTGTATAAATTGTTATCATCAAAATACTATCATGGAGATATGATATTCAACAAGGAAGGTAATTTCAAAACTCTAAAGATTTTAGAGACTAATATTAAGCTTGATGAAGTAATTTTTAAAATTTTAAAGGATTTGAGGAAATAAGTGCAAACTATTTGATAATGACTGACTAATATTTTTACTTATGAATTTGAGGGTCTTTAATGAAATTTATCTCCAAAATTGAGAGTTCACGAAACTACAAAGGTCCCATCGACCCTCGATTTAGGCCCATCGGTTTCCGACCCAAACAAGAAGCTCCAGGTCATCAAGCACGCCCCCAAAGACCACCACACCAAGGTCGAAGGCCATGGCCAGCATCCGCATGCCAGCTGCGGCCGCCGCTTGCGTCTTCTAGCTCACCCACAAGCTCAGCCATAAATCCGATGGCGAGACCATTGAGTGGCTCCTCCAGCAAGCGCGAGCCAGCCATAGTCGCTGCCACGGAACCGACACCAAATCAGCCAACTTCTCCACCCTAAACATCTCCCTCCACAGCAGCGGGTCGACATGAAACGGGATGAGAGAGAGTGCCACAGCCTAAATTTTCCCCATTTTCTCTCCAACATCGCAGGAATAGTACGGCTCAAATTTTTTATATCCGTTTTATTCACTTTTCTCCGATTTTAGGCTTTAGGGGATAGAAACCGACTCGCCTCCAAATCCTATGTGTCATTTGTTTTCTCTTCCTCTTTTCTGTTTTATTTTGGCAAGCCAAACATTAAAAAAGGGGGGGAATGACAATTTTTGGTGTTAGTTTTTTTTTGGTCTTTTCTGCACTTTTTTGATCAACCAAACAGCCCCTATATGAAAAGTTGTGTTTGTAGCATTTTTTATTAGATACTTTTATACTATGATAAACATGTTTGCGTTGGAAATTGATTTATTTGCTAAATCCATTATAATGTTTATCGTTTACACAGATTCAAATGAGTCTTAGCCTTTTTATAAGACTTCTCCCTTACAAATAAATTATCAAAACGATCTCCTAGAAACACATGTAGAGGACGTTTATCACCCGCTGCTTGCGTGAAATCTTTGCCTGTGCCAGGATTTATCCGTGGACCATCGCGGATCAGATCCGATTGATCTGAATAATAGATCAATGCTCTTGCTTCATAAAGGAAATAATCGCAGAAGTAAATAATATCAACAAAGTGAGATTACTACTCTTCTCGAGATCAAAACAAAGTCTGATCTTAAGGAATGGTGGAACGGGCTTCAGATCTCTCGAACTCTTCCTCTTTATGCTGAAGAACTCGCCAAGAACTCGCTAGCCTCTCTGAAATTTGTGGGTTAACTCTCCATTTTGATAGCACCTCGCCCTCTTGCTCAGAATTTCTGATCCCCCGAAAATAGGGGCGCTAGTCTTGTATTTATAGGCTTCGGATGCAACGTTTTAGGATAGGAATTAATGATTTAACCTTATCCTCATTTAATAACCACTTAACCATATTTAGGGATAGCCTCAAGGCAGTTAGGGAGGCTCTGGAATGAAAGAATCCCAAAAAATCATCAACAAACACGTCGTTGAGGAGTTTGATCGGGCGAGACACATTGAAGTGTCTTACGTGTGGCGATGCTTCATTCTACTATTTCATCGATTTTCATGCTTCTTTGTTTCTCTGATTCATCATTTCGCGCATTCTTTTGCATGTTCCTTTGTTTCCTTTTGGTATCGGATGAACTACTTGACCTAGGATGATGATGTTCATCACCTTCTCCTCGTCTCAAGCTGTATTCTGAGAACCTATAAGCTTGGTCTAATAGTTCAGGCGAGGTTCGATCAGATCCGACGAACTTCAGAACATGCTACGAAGAACGGGTCATAACTTTCAAACCGTAAGTCTAAATTAGACGAATTATATATGAAAATCTCTTCTCGATGAGATGGGGCCAACCAAACCTATCGAAGTTCAGTTTGCCGCGTCCGTTTTGCTAAATTCCCTCTGTTTTGAGAGATATCAGTATTTTCGTCTGTTTTAAGCTTCTTTGCAATTTATAGGCAAATTTTTTTATGCCTACAGATACCCCCTCCAAAGTATTTTAGCCTCATTATTTTATAGAAGAGTCTGGAAAACTTTAGATAAGATAGACCCAGCCTTCAATTCTTTGACTTCTTCACCTTTCATCCTATTTAGTATTTTTGTCGAATAATCTGAAATTTCTTCAGGTGCTGCGTTTATCGTCCGACCGTTGTCGAAATTTTGAATTAAAACTGGTGTGTTGATATCTGACTTAGCTCGTGTCGATAAAACTGGTGTGTTGGTATCTAACTTAGCTCGTGTCAGTGAATCGACGTTGAACTGATCGTCTTCATCAGAAGTTTGTATCTGAATTGCGATTGAACTCCCGGGGGTAATTTGGAACTGAGAAGTATCCTAAGCCTTATTTTGGTGAAATTATTGATTCGTTAACCAGCATTACCTCCGTTTCAGTGTAAACACAATTAACCCTTATTCTGGTGAAATTATCGACGCATTGACCGATGTTGACCTTCGTTGTACCGCGTTGACCGGCGTTAACGCAGTTTATACTCATACGTTAACTGGAATCCAAATAGTTTAAGCTCTTAAGGCATTGGAGCATGGAGAATCAGTTTATACTCATATATTATTTAGAGTTTCGGAAATTAGTTTAAGCTCGTGTACCCGTTGGAGGTTCAAGGAGATGAAATTTAGACTCATATACTCATCGGAGTGTGAATACGGACCTCGAACACGTCGAATCGGGTGAAAAACTAGTGAAAACATGCAAAAATACACACGAGAACTCCTACGGGACCCACCCTGGGTGCGAGACACACGCTTGTGTCTCGCACAAGAGAGAGAGGGCCGATCCTGGATCCCTCAAATGCCCAAAAATCTGATCTTCTCTCTTATCTTTTTTTCTCTTCTTTCTTCCTCCTCCCAA